AGCCAGATCCGTCAGGTTGGTGGTATTTTATACTTGATTGCACTTATTTACTTATCTGAAAAATATCTACGTGGCAGGTATAGTTTTGATTACTTATCAGCATGTTTGTCTTATTGTGTTAGATCCGTCGCAAGATGGTTGAGATCATGAGAAACCAAGCAAGTTCCTGTGACCTGAAGGAGTTGGTAGCAAAGTTCATCCCTGAATCAATTGGTAGAGAGATTGAGAAAGCTACTTCAAGCATTTTTCCACTCCAAAATGTTTATATTCGCAAAGTGAAGATCCTGAAGGCCCCTAAATTCGATCTTGGCAAGCTGATGGAGGTAAGTTTGGATTGTTTTCTGTTTCTACTCTCTACATTGGGGCACCATTCATGGATGGTTTGAAAGTGCAATAAATTTATTTTGTTGGAACTACTAATGAGTTATCTTTTTGCAGGTGCATGGTGACTATTCAGAAGATGTTGGTGTGAAGTTGGATCGACCCGCTGAAGAAACAGTGGCTGAGGCAGAGACAGAGGTCCCTGGAGCTTAGACTTTGTTTCATTTTGGATTTCCTGTCTGAATATGGATTCTAGTCTTCTAAAATTTTGCATTTGTTTTAGTTGAGTTTGTCAAAGGCGTGACCTACCAAAATTTTGGATCTATTTATTTTGGTTATGCTTGATGTTAAACTATTCACAATTTAAGATATCGTTTTTCAGCTAAATCTTTTAATACTTCTATACAATATATTAGGATAGATGTGTGCATTTATTCACATGCAGTAGCAACGATCCAAGCCACAGCGGCATAGTACTGAAGGGTTGATTACCATCAAAGGTTGAATCCTGTTTATGGAATCACTTCATTTCTGAAGTAAAACTTATCAACGCGATCCTTCTTTTTGGATTAGTATAGTAATACACTTGTATTTTTTGAATTCTCCAAATATACTAAATCATTGCTTAAAAAGAGTCGCAATATTTTGATATATATGTTGCGATAAACTTGTTAATGCCAAGACTACAAGTGAAACCATCAATTTTGTATTCGTATTCGACCTGTACAAAATTGTATAGACTCCTAACATTGGAGTATAGTACTTAATACTAATACTTATTTTAAAAGTAGATATTACTTGTTATTTTTAATGTATATAAAAAAGAAATTATTTTTCCTATTTATGCTCTAAATTAATTACTTAATTCTTATATACTGAATATTCTCATATTTATTCATTATATAAAAGAAGGTGCAAAATCCAAAATTGAGAAAAGGGAGTACATTTCAAAATATTAAGGGTCGATTTAAAATTTTCAAGAATTTTGGGGTAGTGAAGTGCATCTAGTTTCGAAAATGTTGGTAGAAAATAGAAATACATATAACCTTCCAAGAGAAGTGGGAAGTTTGGAGGATGTTCTTGTAGACAGCCATGGAAGCTGAGAAGAGCGCAGAGTCGAACAAGAAATCGAAGAATAACAGAGACAAGAAGATGACAAGGAAAGAGGTAACATAAACTAACGTTTGCCCATTTCCCCAAAATCATCAATTTGTTTGTTAAAATTTAGTAAAACAAAGCAATAATGAACAGTTAAATCTACTTTGTTTATGAAGGCAGATATTAGAAAAGAAGAAGAAGGTGCAAGAGATAATCAAAGCTGCTGTTTCTCAGAAAGACCTTTTTTCTTCCTTCCCAACTTTTCGCCATTACAAGAAAAAGGGTTCGGTTTTTTTATTTATTTTGTATCCATAAATTTATTATTTTGGTGAATCCATAATCTGTTAAATCCTTCATATTCTGTCTTACCTTTGTATTAGTGCAAAAAAAACAAGGCCCTTTTACCCTTTTTACACATATTCACTCATCTTCTTTCATAAAGGGAAGAACTTTAGTCAATAGGGTTGTCTTCAGTATCAAGGAAAATGTTTTCTACGAAAATATGTATTTTCTTATGTTCGGTGGTCAAGAAAAAAATATTATTATTAAAGCATTTTTTATATGATCTACCCGAGTACACTATTGGAGGTGACATAGGAGAGGGGACTTTTGCATACTTCCTTGGGGTTAGAACTTGAGACCTCCGGTTAAGGGTAGAGGAATCCTATCTATCCTACACTACAACCTTTATTGGTTATGTATAATGTTGTTTGCTGTTATACGTTATTCAATTTTTGTATGTGTAATGTATAGTTGATTTGATCATTAGATTTGTCTGTGTACTTGGACTCGGGATGCGGAGATAGCCTTTCTTCTCCAGTAAAGCAGTATATTCAGAATCTCCTCAAGGTAGCAAAATGGCTAACTTATTGTGATTCGAGTTTTAGCTACAACTTCAAATCAATGATCGTAGGGATATTTCCTCTTTTCTGAAGGTATAGGCCTTTTACAGGTGAATATGGAGGCATCCTATGGAACAGAGTGGCCTGTAGAAGAGAAGGTGAAGCGCAGGGAGATGGTTTCTTCTGAAGCTCGTTATATATTTGTGTATGAGATATCAAATGTGGATGACATGCTCAAATTATCAAAGAAAGAAAGGTGTAATGCAGACGGTATGGATGATAAAGGTCATCTTGTGGCTTTTGTACATTACCGCTTCACCATCGAGGAAGAAATTCCTGTTCTTTATGTGTATGAATTACAGCTTGAACATCGTGTTCAGGGGAAGGGGCTGGGAAAATTCTTAATGGTGCTTATTGAGCTGATTGCTCAGAAGGTGATGAACTAATCTTTGCTCATTCTAATAACAAATGTTTCTTTTTTCACTTTGATTCCTAACATGATGATGGTGGAGAGAAACTAAGTAATTAATTTGAGAACACTTAGCCACAGCAGCATTGCTGAAAATTTGTTAGTGCATTTCTTTAACTCGTGAATATACTAGTCTTGCACTAGAGAGAAATGTTTGTCATGTTTGTGTGCTAATGAAAGCTTATCAATACTTTGCAGAGTAAAATGAGTGCCATGGTGCTAACAGTTCAGAAGGCAAACATGATAGCAATGAACTTCTATCGGAATAAACTAAGGTGATCTATTGATATGTTATACTAGCAATTTGTGTGCATTTAGCATATATCATTTACATGTTTATGATGTTGAAATATCAATATAATAAGCTTAGGTGACTACAGCTTGAATATTAGTAGATAATGTTTTACTACTTCTGTAGAGAACTGTTATATTTGTCCTCTTTCTTTATGTATCCTCCATGTAGTAATAATCAAATTTACATACTGTTATCTGGTTGAACGGTAATTGGTTCCATTTGTATGATTACCCAAAAGTAATATCCTACTTAGTCTAACTATGTTTGTCATCTCTTGTCATAAGATGTGGCATATCATGCTAGAGTGCAGAAGCTGGCCAAAAATTATTGAAGCTACAGGAAATTTCTGTATTTTCAACTCTTGGTTGTTGAAATGAAGATTATACTTGTATTGAAGAGTTACCATAGAGCTAGTTATGTTAAACTAATGTATTGGACATGCTTATACGTGCATTGGATGATTCAACAATTCAGCTCAAAATGTTGGAATTTAACTATATCAGGAGGATTTCTTTTGGAACCTGTCAAATATATACCATTAACCTGTTACATAATCAACTTCCAGTTTACTCCTCAGCTTTTTCCTCTCCGTACTGAATAACATATGCTTAGCTCTAACTTAAAAAGTTTCTTGCAGCAAATTCTTTTTTCAGCTGCTACATTACTGTCAAGATATATTTGCTTTTGTTCACTTGTTTATAATGACTAGCTATTTCCAATAGCACTTACCCGTCAACCTCTGCAGGTACCTGATATCCACTATGTCACCCTCACAGGTAGATCGACAGTCTGCAATAGTTCAGTTTTCATCATAATTTGCCTAGGCTCTTTAAATCTTGCTTGTTGCTATTGCAGATGGGGTTACAGACAAATTATGAGCTTCTTTGCAAGTCATTTGATTATGAAGCTAAAGATGGATTACAGGTGTGCAGTCTTTATTTCCTTGTATCAAATAACGGAAGTCCTCTTTTATACAAGGTGTTGATCGAAATAAGATTGACATCTCATGAGCACGCATGCTTTTCATGCATTTGGTTACTTGATCAATTGATAATGCTTCAATTTTGTCATAGGAGTCTTGTGCCAAAATTTTCCACAGAGTACTTTCTTGATTTAAGAAGTTACCGGACATTGTTCTGATGAAAACAACCTCTCTATCTCTGAGAGGTAGGGGTAAGGTCTGCGTACACTCTACCTTCCTGGACCCCACTTGTGGAAATATATGGGTATGTTATATTTGTTGTTGTACTAGATGAGTAGACGTTACAACAACATACTCAATATAGTCCCACAAAGTGGCTTCTGGGTACTAGATATTCTTGTGGATTAAATCTGAATGCATGCAAAACGACTGAATGACTCAGATGAAGCAAACAACAGTTCATCTCTTATTGGCGTGTTATTGTGTCATATAACTGACAACTGGTTCATTTCTATGTAATCCGTAGTATTCTCTTCTATTTTTTTGCATACATATATGAAGTGCATAACATATAGGATTTCAGAATCACATACTAGAGAGTAGAGACACATAAATTATCTCCTCCTTTTCTCTAAAATCTTTATCCAATGAAGGAAGGTGAAGATAAATGACTGCAAGGTGATTCGGAGTCCGTTTGTGAAGCATCTTACAAAGTTTTTGCCTATGTCAGCTTGACGACGTTGATACCTGTGAAGAGGTAGCATAATGTGAATTATTTAATAGAAATTGCAGAGTAGTATCATGTTTTGGTTTTGTTATTGATCTAAGATTATTAGGTCTTGAGCATTTTTGTCAGACAACTAGCCAATGTATTTGCCAGACAAGTTGTGTTATCACAACCTTTATGTGCATTATGTTCTTTTTATATGCTTGTCTTTTGCTTCTTCCATACATTATGATACTTTTCTTAAACGCTTTTCCAGTATAGTCTTAATCGGAGACCAACATAAAGCAGTTGCTGCCGGCATAAAAGCTCTATTGCCTAAAATATAAGCTGTTCCAACCTTATGTTTGTGCACCTTGTGCACACTTCAACTATTCTATCGTTCAAACTAGTATATCAGTAGACTTTGTCGATTGGTAAAATATTTATCGATAGTCCATGTTTTTAATTCAATTGGTTGATTAGATTCTTAAATCAATTTATAATTTCGTTATTTCTTACCGTGAATCTCCTAAAACTACTTTTACATCAAAACTCAAAATACAAAACTTATCTTCTTCAATACAATTTCTGTCAAATTAAAACTACTCTTAAAGATCTAACCTTCTAAAAAGAGTACAATTATTGGGTTATGATTTGTTATTTGACCCATGCATACTTCAGGCGGAATAAGTCTTGACTCGTAAATTAGTCTATCACTATCCAAATTTAATTCAACTCGTCTATTTATTATCCTGCATTAAATTGTCTTTAAAAAAAAACAGATTTAAAGGAGTTAAATTAAATTAAAGGAAAGCCATAGATATTAGACACCTTTGGTAGGAGCCAAATATGGACAGCCCTTGCTTCAATAATAAAGCAGATTCTTCAATTCTCCACCATTACAGCAATGGTCCTAATTTTCTTCTTACACCTTAAATAACATCATCTTTCACTACATTTTCTTCTTCTTTAATCAACATAGTGTTCAACTTGTCTAACTAACTACACAATGGCCTACACAGATAATTCTAGTTCCCGGACACCATTGATCCCCAATTTTCTTTATAACACCGCGTCTTCATCATCATTCTCTTCATCTACAATTATTACTAATAATACATTATCTCAACCATGTAATGAATCAATTGTCAAAAAGCCTGTTTTGGTTGCGGCACCAAAAGAGCCTTCACGTAAAATAGAAATGTTCTCACCTGCTTATTACGGTGCTTGTACTTTTGGTGGTGTTATGAGTTGTGGTCTCACTCACATGGCTGTTACACCCCTTGATCTTGTCAAGTGTAACATGCAGGTACCTTTAATCTACGCGCGATCTTATTATATGTATACATTTTGTGTAGAATTGTCTAGCAATGCGAAGAAAAAATTTGCCTATTCTGTTTAACAAGTTAATAAGTAGAACAAGAGAATTAAATTACCAAATTAGGATTGAATTGTTGTTTGTTTGTTTAATTATTTGGATCATTAAGGTTACTTGACAAAGCTGGTAAGTTGACAGTGTTAAATATATCTACACAATCGCAAAACTTGTAAGAGATATTGAATTGTATCCTGTAAGTATGAAAAGTATCTTTACACGGTCAGTGTATATCCTTCTTTAAGGTTCTCAGATGTTAAGATGTCGTACATTGATATAGAGAGATGGAAATTTGGTCTCGTTATGTGGACTTGGACAAACCTCCCCTCATTGAGCTTGCTTTTGGGGTTGAGTTAGGCCCAGGTGTTATATCTTTTAACATCAGATCCAGTCAGTCAGTTTGTTACTAATGTGATGAATGATGTGGTTCGAATTGTTAGATCGATCCTGCAAAATACAAGAGCATTTCCTCTGGTTTTGGTGTTCTGCTTAAGGAGCAGGGTGCTAGAGGCTTCTTCAGGGGATGGGTGCCTACGTTGCTCGGTTACAGCGCCCAGGGAGCTTGCAAATATGGATTCTATGAATATTTCAAGAAGTATTACACAGACCTTGCTGGGCCTGAGAATGCTGCCAAGTACAAAACTTTGATTTTCCTTGCTGGTTCTGCTTCTGCTGAAGTTATTGCTGATGTTGCTCTCTGCCCATTTGAGGCTGTCAAAGTTCGCGTTCAGACTCAGCCTGGTTTTGCCAGAGGCTTGTCTGACGGACTTCCCAAATTTGTTAGGGCTGAGGGAGCCTCTGGGTAATACCTTGTTATGTTGATAAATTCATCGCGAATTATTATTATTACATAGTTTGTTAATGTAAGATTCACTGTTTGATTTATTTTTTTATGTATACAGGCTGTATAAGGGGCTTGTTCCTCTCTGGGGACGACAGATTCCGTGTAAGTTTACATTCCATGAAATGCGCTAGTTTTGGCTCTATGTAGTACTTATAATCAGCCTATTATTGTATATTGGGTTATTTATACAGACACCATGATGAAGTTTGCATCATTTGAAACAATTGTGGAACAACTCTACAAAAATGTCATCCCAACACCAAAAGACCAATGCAGTAAATCAACGCAGCTCGGTGTGAGCTTTGCTGGTGGATATTTAGCTGGTATTCTTTGTGCTATTGTGTCACACCCTGCTGATAACCTGGTTTCTTTCCTAAACAACGCAAAGGGTGCAACTGTTGGCGATGTGAGTTAACAAAATTCTGTTCCATGATATACTAATTTGGCTGTACCTTTGAGAATCGTTTTTAACGCAATTGTGTCTATTACAGGCTGTGAACAAGCTAGGTGTGATGGGTCTTTGTACTCGCGGTCTTCCTATTCGTATAGTCATGATTGGTACACTCACTGGAGCACAATGGGGTATCTATGACTCTTTCAAAGTTTTCGTTGGACTGTGAGTTTCTCCTCCCTTTCTTTCTCTCACAATTGTCTAATTTCAACGTGTGTTTGATATGACGAATGTTAAAAAAAAAATATTACATGATGTTTACATCCGTTGCTTCTCGCAGGCCAACGACTGGTGGTGCAGCTCCACCTGCCCCTGTCAAGTGAAGAATAATGTAATGATTCCATCAAAAAAGTTTGAGCATTGGTTGCTAGGAAATTTTTGCATTTATTCAACTTTTTGTAGTAAGATCTGATTTTATTTTTGGGAGGATTTATTATATTATCCTCCAGGTGATGATTTTTAATTTGCAAAAATGTGTTAATTTCTTGTTTTCATATGATAATTTTGGTTAATAATTTTCGAACGTGAGAGGTTGGAGATTGTTGAGACTTGGGACAATACCTGGATGAAGCTGTATACAAAATTTGAGGAATATTAGTGGTGATTTGAACTGATTTGGAGTCGAAACTCAAAGCTGAAATTTATTGTAGCACTATATATCACTTGTATATATAGTGTATATCATAGTTCGGGTTAGAATTCGAAGCTTCCAAGTAGTTTTCAATGGAGCTTTCAAATTTTGTTGTTCGCTTTCTAACTCCTAAATTATAAATTTTATAGCTAAACAATGGTCTTCAATCTTATTCAGATATAGATTAACAATACAAGATAAAAAAGATTATTAACTACAAAAAAAAATAATTAAGAAGGCATTAGCAATGAAGTTAATAACTAATTACAGTTTAATATTTTTTTATAGTGACCAAGTCTATTTCTTAAATTGATGTTCACCATTTTTGAACTTTTGTCTCAATTTTCGACCTTCAAGAACCCATCTTTTTTTCTTAAAACTTATGACATTCAGAATTTACTGATTTAAGTAACCTAAATTTAGGGCTATACTTATCATATCTCTCGAGAGCCTAATATATATATATATAAAATTGTATATTGGTTTAATATATTTTGGTGGTATTATATTATATAATATCCTAGATATGAAAAGGTCCGTTAACGGGTTCAATAATACGATTTTAATTTGTATTTGTATGTTATTTAGTCATATTCTTAAATAATAAATTGATTTTCAATATTTTACGTAAATAAATTAAAGAATATAATGAGCATTAGACTTTGAATTACTTTTTTTATTTCTATAAAATTAAAAAATAACTTATAACTTATATAAGTTATCATGACTGATATTAAAAGAATATGTAATCTGATGTTCATTTTAACATCATGTTAGACATTAACATTAAATTTAAATTATAATATATTTTGGAATAAATATGTCATCTTCTTTAATTTTATGTACTAGACTGAATTAAAAAAAAAAAGGTAAACCTCAAGCATGTTCTAATTTGGTGGATGTAGATATAATTAATTGAGATGACATGTTTATGTGTTATTATAACTATCTATAAGCATTTATAATCTCACACACAAAGTTTTTTTCTTCAAAATTTGAATAAAAATGTGTAAAGTGTTTAGGTATTCCATCAAAACAAGTCGTAGTTTGTATATCAAAATAAAATTTATTGACAAGTTTAATTGACTATAAATATATAAAGCCAAGTCATAAATTTATTTTATTAAAAATTATTACAAACTTTATATCCAACTTGCACAATTACAGTTCCATTCAATTAATTTTTTTAATGTCAAAATAACAAAAAATCGAATAAAATTACATTTATTTTTCTATTTATAGATAAAAATATTTTTTGTAATTATAATTTTACCTTTTTAGTATGATAAAAATTTGTTTTACTTTTTTTTAATCATGGTAATATGATTCATACTTAAAATATTTGTGTTATTTATGTCTCTAGTGAAAGATATTACATGTAATTTCAAAGCATAAGTTATGTTTGTATGTTTTCTGTCTTGATTCAATTGATAAATCTTTTAATAATCTTCTTCTTTTATGAACTACAGTTACATATAAAATAAATTTGAAATTTAAATTTGTTATATAGCATGTTCATGAAAGATAATAATATTTTGAAAATAAGATAATTTACTTAAAAGGGAAATAAATCCCCCTTTTTATTTGAGACAAGAAGATAGTAATATTTAGAATTAATTGATAATTTATCAAATTGCATTCTAATGTTTAAATTTCTTTTTTATTTTAAATTTTGAGTTCTAAAATTGCCAAAATGATAAATTCTATAGTTAAAAACATTTTTAAAATTGTACTATTGTAAAAACTAACTTCATTTTATATTTTGAAGACTAAATATAAGGCATGTAAATTTTTTTTATTGAAGATTGAAAAATAAATGGGATGCACAATATATGAATGAAGTTAATAATTGTTGAGAATTTAAAATTTACAATAGATAGTAAATTTATAATGATATAAAGAGAATGAACTCACATTATTACACGTGTTTAAAGGCTATTGATGAGAGAATAAGACAAGAGTAAGTACATAGTACAATTGGTTTTTCTCATTGTACAACTCTTCATAGTCATAGTCGTCCTACCATGACTTTTCTATATAAATATCTATCTATCTATCTATCTATAGTATATCACAAAAAGAATACTTCCTTCATTCACTTTTACTTCTACAATATATGTACCACATTTTTATAATTAGAAACAGTTTACTCCCTTTAATCACTTTTACTTTTCCAGTATATTGAAAGTAGATGTAACTTTAGTTCTTAATTTACTCCTACTATTAATTACCATAATCATTTCTCAGAGCATTTTTCAAAACATTGAACTAATTATATTTAAAATGTGATATATAATAAAATTATAATTCTATATATTGCTCCTTAAAGAGTGTATCATCTATCAAGTCAAACACAGTGAGTAAAAATGGACTCACAAAGCGACTTTGAATTTCTCCTTTTAAGTCTATTAATAAAATGATTTATAATTATATAAATATCTAAAATTTATTATAATTTATTAATTTTAAATTATTTTTATTTAAAAAATTATATTAAATCAAACAATATCATATAAATAAAAACGAAAGTCATTTTTACGATGAAATTACGAAATTGCTTTCGTATCAAAACCAGTGAATCCGCCTCAAATATTGAATATAAGTATAAAGCCTTTGATTTTGGTACCACGTGTTTCTTATGTGTCCTTTATTCAATTTAGAATTTAGTATCAATGTTAATGACTTTTTAATCTTTTTATGGAAAATTATTATTACATCCTTTAGCTTTTACTTCTTTCTATTTTAAAATGAACTATTCGTCATTTTTAATATATCAAAAAAAATTATATTTTATTTTTAACAATAATTATTTATTTTTCAAATTGTTTTTTAAAACCTAATATTTAACACTAAATAATAAGGATGATATGATAAAATAGTCTCAACTTACTATAATCATATAATATGATAAAATAGTCATGACAATCATTAATTGTTGTTAAATGAAATCAATATTTATATGTGTTTCATAAATGAAAGTAATAACACGTCTCAAATATTTTTTCTTTCTCAAATATTGTTCTATTTCTTTGCTTTATGCATCCAGTTCATTAATCCTGACTAATTAAGAGACTTAACAAGCTTAGAATTCCAAATTATAAATAAATAAATTCTGAACCAAGTATTAGAAAGGATTAGAGCCGTATCTACAAAAAAAAGAAAAAATAGAACAGTCGAAGGGTGTTCTAAGCAAATACATTTTAGTACCATGATTATTATATGTTGTGCAAAGTATTTCAAATTTTATAATAACATGGTATATATTATTATAAAATACTGAGGATATTTTTTTGTGAAAAATCATAAGTTAAACCGTGTGTACAAAGTGAATTAGTCGTACTAAGCAGTTTTTGGGTTTAATTAATCATTGTTAATAGTAATATAGTATAGTCAACAAAATATACTCATATCTAAGTCTTTGGCATAATATTATTTTTGTTTTATTTTGATAACAGGGCACTTGTACACAACACTGACCTAATGAAGGTTACAAAAGAGTCAAAAACTCTCTGTTTACTGTTTGGCTCAATGATGATTAATATATTTGATTTAAAAATATCTTTATCGTGAATATTTTGATCTAAAAATGTCTTTATAGATGCTAAATGGGTTGAAAATGCCCTTTTCTGAATAAATATGTTATTTCTTTCTTTTGAAATTTATTTAACAAATAAAATATAGGAATTTTTTCTTCTTCCTAATCTCATTTTATCAATTAAAATAGAATAATTTCATATACGCTTTCGACGAATAAAATATGTCATATATTTAAAAATATAGTATATTCATCACTAATTTTAAGTCATATAACGATAACAAAAATTACTTTTTTTCTGAATTAAAGTAGGATAAACATTTTCTAATTTAAAAAGATATTATAAAAAAAAATACGTGTCAGAAAGAATATAAATAATATGTTTGTTTTGAAAATGAACATTTTTGTCACTAAATAACAATAAAGACATGTTTGGACCAAAGTATTTACTGCTTGAACATTTATGAATCAGGTATTGACGAGGCTATTTTCAAACTAACCTATAAACAAAAAAAATATTTTTATTCATTTCACAAGTATGAAGACATTTTTAACCCTCTTTCCTTATAAAAAATATATTTTCCTAATAATTATAGGAGGCGTGCTCGATAGATTATTCAAAAGCAAAGTCCTAGCAGTAGCTAATTAAGCAGAAATCACGTTGCACTATTAATTAATTTTTATTCCCTTTACATTATATAGTCAGAGCAAATATTTACACAAAATTAGCTGGAAAAACATGCTTAATACCAAAAAAGGAAGTAACGTTCGTGCATGATTTTCGTTTACTGGTGAAACCCAATATTCGTTTATACATCAATAATTAAAAATATTATCTATTTTTGGCATACATTTATAGAACAGCTAAGATCCAAAATAAACCAACTCATTAAATATTGGGTTCCAAAACTTTTTAGGTACACAAACGGATGGACAGAGATAAAAATTTTAACTAAAAATATATATAAAACGAAAAATTTACATTGTATATATAAAATTAGAATAGTTTTTTCATTGAATTCTTCTTTATTTTTTGAATCTTCACAATGAAAATCTTGATGCTATCTGATGCCTTACGAACAGCAGCGGTGTAAAATAATATTAACACTAGGTTTTTTATATATATATAATGTAAATTTATATTATGCTAAGCACAATAATTAACAACATAAGTTTTTAAAAAAATATAAATCATATGTTAAATTATACAATGTAAAAGGTTTTCCAGGCTTTTATCACACGAGCTACATGACTTGGAAAGGTAAAAAAATGAACTGTATTATTCTTAAGAAACTTTTGGTAAGATTCTCCTAATTCCTTTACTAGATGTGACATAAAGAAAGAAACTTTTATATTAGCCAAAATAAAATAAAATAACACGTGTCAAAGATTACTAAGGAAAAACGATGGATCAAAATTTAATTAAATATCTTTCATCACTGCTTTGGCATTATATCATGCAGTTTTTGCATAAAATGTTTTTTGTTATTAATTTCTCCAATAAATCGTAATTAAAAGAAAATGACAAAAGAATTGCTCTCTCATTTTGTCCCTTTTAAGTAGGTTTAAATTTAAAACAGGGTCTTAAGTATTATCTGAGTAATTTTAAAATTTTTAAA